AGATTATTCGACTTAACATGCACTCAAATTCCAATACCTGAAAAGATTGTCAAAAAAGCATCATCAACGTTACTAAAGAACGAATTCTACAGTACCCTTGAGCAATGTTAATTTAGATTGATGACCTAAACAAAGCAGTCAACCAACCACAATATACCGTATTCTCTCTTCTCTCTTCTCCCTCTTAACTAAGCAAGCCTTTGTCTTTTTCGAGAGAACTGCAATGGCACTGGGCGTTTCTTTGGGATCTGAAGGCGTGGTCTTTACTGTGGATGTCATTCAGTCAATTTCTTTGTAGTGCATCGTAAGAAATTGCATTTTTTGATCTGATGCATTCGGTTTTGTTTTTTGTTGGATTAGCGCCTTGTGGGATCACTCTTGTATGCTTAGCTTATCATCCGGATAATACGGACGATCCGTTTTTAATTTTATATCCTATAATGTTCTATCAAACTAATCTGACTGCAACACTGAGTTTCACCTCGACTCGAGTCTGTTTGTGATAGAATGTGCGCAGCTAATCTTAATCTCAATGTAAATGACTTTTCACTTAATCGCGATTCACGTCAAAGTGTCGCGATAATCATCCGATTGCTGTTCATTTCTAACTCGTAGCCTTTGCTAGCAGCAATTGCCTTACAATGAATAATATACCTCCACTGAGTAGTCATCGGTGAAGTGGTTTGATTTCATAATATTGGATGACTTAAACGCATACGCAGTTTATTACATGATCAACTGATTCAGATTTCGTAACTTATCGGAAACTCTGATCGAAGTTTGGAAACTTTCCTTTGAAAGTCTTAGACGCAACTATCCACTTTCAAGAATTTGATTTATCCTTGATCATTACTATAATAACAGAGGATAGGAAGTGAAGCGCGATTCTAAAAGCCAACATGAACAACGATATCGCTTTTCCATCTCCCAACCAGTTCGGGTCGAAAAGTTTTTTAAAAATTATTTTAACTGGTGAATGCTTTCAGAAGGAGATTGCATATCTAGGAAGTTGCAGTTTTCGAGCAATTAGATTGGTGATTATCACTCAGTATCGTTCATAACCATGGTGAATAACAATTCTCCGTATCCATTTAACAATTTTCCGTTCACACATCAACCGTCGTTTCCTTATTCTTCGAATCCGGTCTTTTCCGGCTATCTTACACCCGCTACAGCGGCCACTGCAGTCTCTGCAGCTGCCTCATCGACAAGGTTTCTTTGAAAATTCCTAAGCATTGAAAATCCACCCTGGGAAACTTCAAACTTCAAAATTCACCTTTCAAAAACGTTCATTACTATTGTTTTGAACAGTTTCGTTTTCAAATGAACAATTGAGAAGAGCATTGAATCATTGAAATACCACAGGATTATTTGTAAAAGTATCGTCCCTCACATCAAAAAAGAACTCCTCAGTATAGTCTCCAGACTTACTTGATACCACAATCAAGTACTCAATTTTTCGCCATCCTCCTTCAAAAAGTTTTGCGTATTTTACACATCTTACGGTGTTAAGTGCGGACTGTGTTCGTAAATCAACTGGAAGACGTGAACGCACGACGTTCAATCCGATGCAACTGCAATTCCTGGAATCCATCTTCAAAGAAACACACTATCCGGATGTTTATCATCGAGAGCAGATTGCCGAGAAAGTTGGTCTTCAAGAAAGCCGAATCCAGGTACTTTACAACTGTTCAATTTCGCAAGTCGTTGCGTTTTTTATCGACCTGCAATCATTTTCATTGCATTTTCACGCTGAATGATCTTTTTTGACTTCTGAATTCTGAATGATCTGTTTCTGAAAGATCTTCTGGCCATAAAAAACAATTTATCACATTTAATTTCATTGGTCACTTCGAATGTTCGTGATATCGAGCGTATGTATACTTATTTGTGTGCTGTTTTACCTCATTATCCCATTAAATAACTTCTTGAAACTAAGACCTTTGTTCAAGAGAATGGTTCTAGAATTTTAATTTTGAAAGTTCGAGAGCTTGACCACTGCCGATTGTCGATGTAGAATCAACAAGGAACTCTTTATGAGTTGTCACTGTTGATGAGCATGTGAGCATAAAAGGATGACTTACCACGAGGAATATAATCTTGAACTGCATCTTGAGCTTTTATTATTTGATGCTCTCTTGATGATTCAAATGAACTCGATCTACTATGACCGATTGCAGGTATGGTTCAAGAACAGACGTGCCAAAGATCGTCAACAAAAACGTTTAGGACTCCAGTCAATAAGAGCAAATCTCTCCTCAGTTAGCAGTCATAACAATACCAGCACTAATCAAACCCAAACACCACCTCCGGCTGAACCTATTAAAACCAGTTCTACGCCACCTAAAGCCATATCACCTCTACTCATTCCTGGTTCGCTGGAGTTTAATCTTAAAGCTGCAAACAAAATCTCCACCTTGAGGTAAGTGTTCTTGATTTGTAGTTTAAGGATTCATTCCAAAGCCATTTACCAGCCAATGATCACACCAAAGATCACAAATTTGATGAGCACAACGAAAAGTTCCTGAAGTTTTTTAAACTTGCATTCGATCGATGTATTTGATGACTCAAATACGCATTTTTCCATATTTTAATCCGATCTTGTCAACTCTAAATTTAGCAACAACTAAATTTCAGTCTAAAGAACAGCACCGTCAAAGACGAGAACGACTTCACTAAGAATGATTTCAAGACAACTTTTTCACCATTCGAAACTACTCCAAATATTGCAAGTAGGTGCTTCTCGTTTCATCTCAATGTCTCATTAATCCATCACTACCACCACATTATATTGACTCAGAGAGTTGCTCGTTTCATAATATCACTCACAATTCATTATCATCATTACGCACTTCTGCAATACACTTTCACATCATTGATTTTGCTTAACTCGATTAAAATTTCTCAAATTTCTGCATCGATTCGAAATGTAAACGCATACCTCAAAAAATCTACACTCTTTTCCATGCAAAGAATTCATTGGTTTCGATGCCATCACCATCATGATGATACGTTCTTCTTGAGCGCTTTTTCACGCACGTCTCAAATTTTTTCTTAAAGATTGGCGCCTGTTTTCCGGTAAACCATTGGTTTTTTGCCGAACTTCATGTGAAATTGTAATGACATCATGCTCGCTTGCTCCATCAAAATATGCCCAAACAGCCTATTTCTCGTTCTTAAAACATTTATTGATGTTATTCATTCACTGCTATTCTATCGCATGCTATGCATGACGAATTCTAAATTTTCGCACATCATCATTTTTTTTGCATTCTCACAAATCATCATCGTTCAGACAGACAAAATTTCAGGCTGGCCTCCACCTTATCCCACTATTACCGCACAAACCGCGTACCCATCAAGCTACCCAAACGCCCAATCGAGCAGTTTCAATTTTGGTACTGGAACGACCGCTGCTCAAAACTACTATCATCATCATAATCCATATCCTGCCGACTTCTACAATCCCTATACTCAGCCCAGTGCAGCCGCGTATCAGTCTTATCAATCAATGTTCAGCGGTTTTAACAGTGCGGCTAGCAATGGAATGACCGATATACAACGATCAACTTTATGATAATATCATCTGTCTAGCCGTTGTTTGTTCTGAATTGTTTGATCAAATCTTTAACGTTATTCGCTTTTTCTTTTTGCTGTCAAATTTTCGCGATTCTCTGTTATTTACGGAAATATTCGGAGTATTTTTGAAGAATTTCGA